ACTCCGTCGGGTTGTTCCAAGGCCTTAGCCATTTGGCGAGCGCGGCGTTGGCGTTGTCTCTAACGAGCTCTTTTCGTCAATGCCGGCGGGCTTTGATTTAATGACTCCTTAATTAGGGTGGAATAATTATGAGCAGAGCTTCCGGCTTTGGGGGTCGCCGGGATAATATTGCGAGGCAAGGCGAGGAAGACTTTACAGATGAGGATGATAAATACTCCTCAAACTTCGCTTGGTCGAACTCGTACTCGACCATTGATTCAACCGGGATCTTGATGGTTGGCTGTGACACGACGGTCTCGACAGCGAGACCGTTGGCTCCCACTGTGGTCGCCAGTTTGTTTTCGTCAAAAATTGACTTTGTCATGTAATTCATTATATCTTCGGTCGATTACAATAAATTCAAAAAAGAGATAGCCTTTTTATAAGACTCCTTTTACACAACAAAAGGAAAAATTACAACTCTTGAGAAACAAACGCAGGATTGTTGTTTGGATCGCTGCTTGTGTGGGATCTTTGCCTGTGCCGGGAGCGCTTTGACTCGTGGACCACCAAATCACAGATTCTAATTGAATCGTGAGGGGTTTAATGATTCTTCCTTCGTTTATCGAAGTAAGAATTTGAAGCGAATATCTTATCGATGTAAGATGTTCACTCTTCTAAAGATCAAGTCAGAGCTTAGATCTCTAGGAATCGCCAGAACTCTGCTCTGTCTGCTCCAAAGTGCTTAAGAATCATCAGCCCCCTAAACAAATGATCACAGGGGGTATTTATAACCCCTGGACGAATAACCACTTCCGAGATAGTGTTTGCTGTCTCGGCGGTCGAGACAGTAAAGACTGTCTCGGGTTCTGAGACAGTAAAGACTATCTCGGCCCGCGAGACAGTAAATACTGTCTCGAGAACAGTAACTGTCTGGCAGTTTTCATTGTAACTGTCTTCCCACGTTTTCAAACTCCGTTATTTTGGTAGTTATTCACGTGATTCTCGTCCACGACGTTCCCCATGTTCTTTGACAGTTAATGGCCACGTGTCGACGGTTTATAAAACAATTTCTGAGCCCTTGAAAACTGTCTCGCGTGTGAGACAGCAAACGCTATCTCACGTGCGAGACAGCAAACGCTGTCTCGCACTGCAAGACAGCAAACACTGTCTCGCGTGCGAGACAGCAAAGTCTGTCTCGCGTGCGAGACAGCAAAGACTGTCTCGCGTGCGAGACAGCAAAGTCTGTCTCGCGTGCGAGACAGCAAAGTCTGTCTCGCGTGCGAGACGGTCTATGTCCTTTTTTCTGACTTTTTGGATGAATTCCTTCTTGAGCTGTATTTGGATATCTTTCGGCATTTTTTGACGCCTACAGTAAGGAGGGTTTGCTGAAGAATCTGAAGAAACATTGCATGGATTTTTACGAGAATTGTGTGTATGGGAAGACGCACAGGGTCAAATTCTTAAAAGTAATCACAAGAGCAGAGGTATATTAGACTATGTGCACACAGATGAGTGGGGTCCGGCTCAGACAACTTCCAAGGGTTGTTCCAGGTATTTTGTCTCGTTTATAGACGACTATTCTAGGTATGCTTGGATTTACTTTCTGAAGCATAAGAATGAGGTGTTCGAGACATTTAAGAAGTGGAAGGCCATGGTTGAGAACATGATAGGGAAAAAATTAAAGACACTAAGATCTTACAACTGTACAGAATATACAGATGATACTTTCAAGGAATTCTGTGAATAGGAAGGCATTGCTAGATACTGGACAATCAGATCTATACCACAGCAGAATAAGATCGCAGAGAGGCTGAACCAAACATTGCGGGAGAAAAACAATGAGTATGCAATCTTATGCTGGATTGTGAAAAGAATGGTGGGCAGAAGCGGTGACTATAACTTGTTATATTATGAACCGTTCTCCACATTCTACATTGGATGGTGATACACCCTATAGGGTGTGGTCAGGGGAGCATGCAGATTATGAGAGGCTCCAGATTTTTGGGTGTACCGTCTATTATCACGTCAACGAGGAAAAGCTTGATGCGAGGGCCAAGAAGGCTATATTATTGGGATATGCAAAGGGTGTAAAAGGCTACCGTCTTTGATGTCCAGAAGATTTGAAGTTCGTGATCAGCATGGATGCTACCTTTAATGAGAAATCCATAATTACTAAAGCACCCAAGGATGATGGTGTTGGGACTGTTGTGACTTCAAAATCTTAGGTTATTAAGATAGAACCTAAAGACCAATCAGGTTCAAGTGAGAAATCAGGTAGATGATGAGCTTGAGCAGGAGGAGGTTCAGTAGGAGAATACACAAACACTATAACAACAACAGCTCGAGGATAGTTTGGCTTCCACTAGTCCAAGGCGAGCATATAAGCAGGTACTGAAGCTAGGGGCTGATCAATCCCTGAAGCACTATGGGCAAGTTAATTTGGTGGAATACGCATTCTCGATGGAGGAAGATGAGCCGGTCTCCTTCAAGGAAGCTATTCGGGATAGAGATAATGAGAGTTGGTTGGCTACGATGAATGAGGAGATGGAATCTTTTTGGAAGAACCAAACATGAGAGGTGGTCCCATTGCCCGTAGGAAGAAAAACTATTGGTTGTAAGTGGGTGTATAAGAGAAAGGAAGATCCTACAGAACTCGGTGGTACAAGGTACAAGGCAATGCTAGTGGCTAAAGGGTTTGCACAAAGAGAGGGTGTGGATTACAATGAGATATTTTCTCCGGTGGTAAAACACACTTCTATTCGGGTGCTATTGAGTATTGTTGCTCATGGTGATCTTGAGCTGGAACAACTCGATGTAAATACGGTCTTCTTGCACGGAGATTTGGATGAAGAGATCTATAAGCATCAACCTGAGGGCTACAAGGTTGAGGATAAGGAGCATCATGTATGTCTCTTGAGGAAGTCACTCTATGGACTAAAGCAATCCCCTCGGCAGTGGTACAAGCGATTTGACTCCTTCATGCTGAAGCATAGATTTTTCCAAAGTAATCACGATTGTTGTGTTTACATTTGGAAGCTTTGTGGAGGTGATTATATCTATCTCCTTTTATATGTGGATGTCATGCTTATTGCTTCAAAAAGCATGATGGAGATAGATAAGCTAAAATCTCAACTCGGTAAAGAGTTCGAGATGAAGGACATGGGCGTTGCAAGGAAAATACTGGGTATGAAGATTAGAACAGAGCGGACGAATCAACGATTGTTCTTGAGTCAGAAGGGCTACATAGAGCGGGTTATCGCAAGGTTTGGGATACAGAGTGCAAAGTTGGCGGTGACTCCATTAGTTCCACACTTCAGGCTTTCAGGTAAACAATCTCCCACTACAGTGGAAGAGAAGGTACACATGGAGCATGTATCTTATGCTAGTGCAGTTGGCAGTTTGATGTACGCCATGGTGTGTACATGCCCATATATTTCACAGGCGGTCAGTGTCGTCAGTAGATTCATGGGGAATCCGGGAAAGACATATTGAAAGTCGGTGAAGTGGGTCCTGAGGTACTTGAATGGTACTATTAATACGTGTCTGTATTTTGGTGGAGATACATGTCAGATTGATGGGTTTGTGGACTCAGATCATACGGGTGATCTAGATAGACGACGATCTACTACTGATTATGTATTCATGATACATGGGGCTCCAGTTAGTTAGCGATCGATGTTACAGGCTACAATGATACTTTCTACTACAGATGCCGAGTACATGGCCATAACGGGGGGAGTAAAGGAAGCATTGTGGTTGTGGGGTATTCTAGACGATTTGGTTCATTTTCGGAAATACATTTGCATGTACAAAAACACAAGTTTTGAGTTTTCCAAACTTTTCTAAGAAATAGATTATTTCGCTTTGGTTCGCACAAAAAAATGGTGGGAAACCAATGTATTTATTTTTCTTGTGTTTGGTTCGCATGGAAAAAAGGGAAAACTTTTGTTTTTATGGCAAAAAGCTGGCGTGGCTGTAGTTTTCGTCGATTTCATGAGGTTGAGGAAGGAATTGGGGGAGAGAAAAAAATCTGATATAGCGACGATTTTCACCGAGTTTCCCTTCTTCAACTCTAGCAAACCAAAGATGTGAAAAAAAACCGACGGAAAGGTTATATCCTACGTGGCCACGAAAAAATCTGATGTGGAAGCGGTGTAAAACTTTTCCACCGAGTTAAAAAACGAACCAAACAACCCCTTAAAAAAACAATTTGTTTTTTTTGGTAAATTGAATAAAATAATGTTAGAGGCACACCACCCACCACAACCCCAACCACACTCCCCCCTCTCATTGCTACAGTAAACCGGGCCCCACATGGGATTTTAAATTTTTTAAAATCCCATGTGGGGCCTGATTTACTATAGCAATGAGAGGGGGAGTGTGGTTGGGGTTGTGGTGGGTGGTGTGCCCCTAACACCACTCAATTGAATACAACTCATCATCTATTCCTTCAGTAGCACTTAGCTATATTTTATTACTACTTAAAACCCCATAAATTGGTATTTCTTACAAGAATCAATTGGTGTTTATTGCTAATAAGATACATTTTTTTATCCTAATTCTTTGGAATCTGATTTACCTTGGTGGTGTCAGGTCTTTTGTGTATTCATCTTGTGTTTACCATGTTATGACATTTTCTTAAAAACAAAATAAAAAATAAAATAAAATAAAAAAATAAAATAAAATTAAAAGAAAAAAGAGAATTTCAGGGGGGGAAAGACGAAAAAGAATTCAACAAGAACTAGGTTACTTATCATCCGTACGGTTCGGTCTGATTCCATTTTAGGACCCAAATAAATTAAAAAAGAAATTAAAATCGAACTAGAAACAAAAAAGAGGTACTATAGTTACACCATCAATCACACCTTCTCTTCTGCTACACTATAGCGGATTTCATATGAATTTTTAAAAAATTTCATATAAAGCCTGTTGTACTGTAGCATGAGAGGAGTTGTGGATGATAGTGTGGTTGATGATGTGGCTGTATAGCAAAAACCCCATAAAAGTACACCCTCCCCCCTCTCTCTCTCTCTCACCCCCCCCCCCGCCGATGACATCCGAGCTCCATTTCTCCTTCCCTCTCCTCCACTCTCCAAACCCACATAAAAAATCTCATCCCAATTCTTTTAAAACCCCCCAGCCCTTCAAATCCAACAAATTAATCCCCAAAACTGTTCTCAATCCCCACATAAATGAACCCATCAAGCTGAGGAGGAGGAGGAGGAGGTGGAGCTTCGCGCTGGTCGAATGTGCAAACTCCGACGGAGGAGGAGGAGGAGTAGCAAGAAGATGGGAATCTTGGGTTCCAAGAAATATTGGTGGGTTTTCGCCGGAGAGGGTTTTCAAGCTGATCTCAGGCGCCACTTCCAGCCCTATATGCCAGTTCATCGACTCTCCCAAAACTTTTCTGCACTCCCTCGACCCAAGAATCAAACTGGTATATTTTCTTTTTAAGTCATTTCCTTCTGATTTGTTGTGTTGTTTTGGTAATAAGAAGCTTGCCTATTGAATTAGATTGCTACTGCATTTGTAGAAGGGGGTGCGTCGGATTCGAGTGAAATGAACCCATTTTTAATATTGACTCTCTAATACTGTTGCTTGTTTCCTTGAACATCTTGGGAAAGGCAAAAAATAAAGTCTTGAGGGAGAGGTCCTCTTGTTTGTTTGCTTATGGCAGCCTGAATTGGGCTTCAGTAAACCGTGTAGGAAATTTTAATAGGACACTAATTGAGGCCTGATGATCTTCACCCATGCTTGGAAGATGATTAGTGAAGTTTTACGGAGGATGGGTTATTCCATCCATCTCTTCTTTACTAGAGGTAAGCAAATTTATGGATGAAAGTGGACATTGTGGTTCATCCTACTTGAGACTGGAGGGGCAACTATGTCATTTGGCACAATTATATCCACCTACGAGGTACCACCTGACCCTTGTTGTGTCATGCTTAGTCTCTCTTTCAAATAGAAATTTGGCATATTGCAAAGACATGACTCTTAAAATTGCGAAAACTTCTCTCCCTCTCCATTACAGTTCTTGAAAGCAAGTTGGGGCTCAGGCCTTTGAGGGTTGCAGAGACGTAAATCAATTAAGATATAAAACATCAGACCTGACAATGATGCGTACGAGTACTGAGAAATAGAAACCTCGTTTTTCAATGGATTCCTTTCAAATTTATCTTTAAATATTTTAGTGGAATGTTATTGTCAAAGTGGTTTTCAAGTTAAAAATTTCATGCCCAATAAGGTCGGACTTTTGACACTTAATTCCAAAAATTTTAAAATTCTCACTAAACTCCCAATAAAGTTTTGGAATTCCAAAAAAAAAACCCCAAAATAGTGTGAGCCCTCGTGTTGGACTATATATGTTGTAGCACAAAAGCAGCAAGACTTGCACAGACAGTATTAATTGGATATGCAATAAAATTAAAAATCTGAAGGGTGAGAAATATAGGACGATCTATCTTATGGTTCAGTATATCTTTCACATATACTTTTCTTTGGAAAGAGGCAGTAATTTATCTTGCAGGTGCATTTGCATGTGCAGAACTGCTAGTAAATATTATGTACATACTTATTTGTTGGGGAGGGATTATTGGTTATGAGTTGTCAACTCATTTTGTTAAATAAGCTAGCAAGAAATAAAAGGGATGGTGAGACAAACCTATATGACGTGACTAGCATGACGAGCCTCACCGTTTGTCCATCTCTTGATAACTCATTTAGCAAAATGAGCTGGCACCTTTATGCTGATTATTAAAGTACATTTACTTAATTTCTTGGGGTTCACCATATCCATTACCTGGAAAGTGTTGTCTCCATAATATCCGATATCCCTCCTGCTAGGAGGGAGAAAGTCTGCTTTGTGCATGTTTTCTACATTTCAAAATGCATACATAGTTTGTATTTATGCGAATATAAAACAAGCATACGGGCATATGTACATGTATATTTGCATGAATGCATTTGCACACACATACATATATCTATACTCTGTAAATTTATAAATTTATATTTGTGCCCTTGAAAAGGGAGAACTTTATTATTCTCAAGGATAATCAACTTGGGTTATCCAATGGTAAAAGTGCACAATGGGACATCTCAATAGGTCCAGTCTGTTCTCATGATCTAAATACTGAAATATCACATGCTTCGAGAATGTCTAACATTTTTGTCAAAGGTTGCTCTATTGTATTACTGAGAACTAGTCATTTTACAATCGCTATTAAATGGTGAGAAGTTTTCAAACCATATGATTTTTTATTTAGTTGTTATGAGATAAATAGGTCATGATGGATGTTGGCATGCCCATTCTCATGGGCCTTTAGTTGTTCTATTGTGCATATGACCTTCTAAGCGACTTTTCAATTGCTTATGAACTATCATATCTTATATATTATATTCAAATTAGAAGATCCTTGCTCTATCTCCATGATTATAGCCATGTACTTTGACTGATTAAATATAATTCTGTTCATTATTCTTTTAAATTCTATCTGGTGTTCATGGTGTTATTTTACTTCTATCTCAGTAATTTCTTGTTGCAGGCATGGCTTTTAGTTCTTGTTATCCTGCCAGCTAGGTCAAATATTTACATGCGCCTTGGATTAGTTTTGTACCTAAGCCTCTTGTCAGTATGGATTCTCCCAAGACATGTTTGGATGGTAAGCACAGTGCATTATTACCAGAGTTGTCTTATCACTCTTTCATTTTTTTCCCTTTAATCTTAACTCCACAAAAAAAAAGTAATAAAATAAAAAATAAAAGCACACATGCTCAGATGATTTTTTTTTACATGGAAAATACGTAGCAGTTATGTGCATGTTTTATCAAGTGGCGCTCAGTCTTTTTTTTTCCTTCTTTTTAAAAATACATGTCCTGCGTTTCTTTTGCTACGTTTATATATTTTCCTTTTTTGGTTTCTTTACTTTAGTAGATATCTTCTTTCTTGAGAACCATTATCGCTTAATTATTTCTACCTTTCTTCTTCCTTAATAGGATCAATTAGGAAGAGTGGCTTTCCTTTCAGGAATCTTATTCATTATGCTTGGGTTTGGTTCAGATGGAGTACCCCCAGTTGTTCAGTTAAGAACTCCTCCCCCTTCTATGATGGGCTTGTCAAGTCTCCCTTCATCATTGGCAGGTTATTCTTACACAATCATGAAGATTGGACCATTACAGCTTACAAGAAAAGGCTTGTCTCTAGCTAGTACCTCTGCATGTTTATCCTTTACCGTACGTGTTCCTTATAATTTTGGCATTTGCTTTTGCAAACATTTTTACTGTACTCCATAATTTTTTTATTTGCCTTGAAACTGTGACTCCTCTCCATCTCTATTTTGTCTTATTGCTTCTAGTATTGCTTTACTACAAGAACTAGGTTTTTTGTGTAAATTTCACAAAAATCCCCTGAATTTGGGCTGTCACATAACCTCTCTGAACTTTTAGGCGTCTCACATAACACCCCTAAACTTTCAAATTTTCCCAACGAAGCCCCGATTACTTTTCATTTACAGACAAGTCAGCAGACACTCTCCGCCCTATTTGGGTTTTTTTCCTGTCAATGACCTGTTAGTTATTTTCCATTTCCAGGTAGGGGTTCGGTTGGGAAAATTGATAGCTTAGGGGGCCTATGTGAGACACCTCCAAATTCAGGGGGGGTAAGTGGATTAAATATAGTTTAAGTGGGTTTTGTTGGAAATGCCAAAAGTTTAGGTTTTTTTTTGGAATTTACCCTTTTTTCAAAGTATACCTGAAAGTTTTCCCTTTTTTCCTTTGGTGAAAGATCTTTCAAAGTGCTAGTCTATGCCTGGCGACAACAACCCCTGAGCAACTAGCATCTGCGTTGCAGTGGTTCATGGCTCCTTTGTCACTTATTGGTGCTCCAGTTGCTGAAATAATTCTCACTCTACTACTTTCATTGAGATTCATCAATCTAGTTTTTGACGAGGCAAGTTGAAATGAACTTTTTTTCTCTGAACATTATGGTTAAGTTAAGATTTGAGTGATAAATTGTGTATGCACATGAAACAAAGTTAAGAAAATGGATTCATAGTTAATCATGTTACAGCTTTTTCATATCTTTGTTTTTTTACATATATTAATACTTTTTACACAGGTAAGAAATGCGGCTTTAGGGATTGTAGCACGTCGAATATGTTGGCAGCAGTTGGCAGTAACCGAAACAATAGATGGTGAGCATCTTTCATGAATGGAAAATATGGAAGCTATTTTATATGCATTTTAAGTTTGGATTTGTTTCTCTTTCCAAATATGTGAACTCTCAAACTCTAGATGCTTAGAAAAAAGCAGTTTAAGCCCAAGGTTGATCACCGATACTTTTTTTTTTCTTCCAGGGACTACCAAACATATAAATGAAAGTTAATCTGAAGTTAAAAGTCAGTACCCAGATTACTTTTTGTAGCCATGAATTGAGCGGTTATCTTGTTCTATTTTATGTATTGTTAATGGCCTATTTTTGAGTTCTTCTTGAATTCCCGACAAAGCATGAGGCTAAGAGGGTAAGCTTGATATAAATTTTGCCATTTTCATTAAGTTAATTATCTGACTGTTATGAATTATACTAGCTGCTTCAATTCTAAGTTTGTAACTATGACTGTATAAAGATTTCTAATGGAAGAAAACACTTAAACCATCAACATGACAGGCACTCCATGGTTGCAATTCATTTTGGTTTGATTGGTTAATCTGCATCTTTCTACTGTCTGCTGATTACTTTGAATGTTTAATGTTCTCTCCGTGTTAGATATTCTTCTGTAGAAATCAATTTATTGCTACCTTAGGCATTACTTATCTTAGGATACAACTGATGAATGAAAAGTATTTAGGTGAAGGTGCAGTGATTCTTCCCTTTTATCTTCTCATTTAATGATTCCATTTAATTTCTATAGTCAACAAGAGGTTAACAGCCAATATAACTGGTGAAGTATTCTCATCCTGTAATTAAGTGCCCACCACTTTTTTTAATGAAATATTCGTGAAAATTATATTTTACGTCTTTTTTGCAGTAATATTTTCATGCACAATTCATTGCTTGAAAATTGCCGTAGTGACTTTATTTGCTCTCTGAATCCAATGACTCATCCTTATATATGCTTCTCTTCATTTCTAATTTTGCAGTTTTCTTTATGTATATCCGTCGGATTTTCAAAAATATTTTTAGTCATGCTGAGCAAATCTCCAAGGTATGCCTTTCCAATACACTTTCTATTACATTATCTAGCTCTAAAGTCTTACATCTGCAGCCATGGCATGAGAAATATTCTCTTGTTGTG